CTACTGCTGCTGTTGCTGCTGCTGCTGCTACTACTACTACTACTGCTGCTGTTACTGCTACTGCTGCTGCTACTGCTGCTGTTGCTACTGTTGCTGCTACTGCTGCTACTGCTGATACTGTCGCTGCTACTACTACTACTACTACTACTGCTGCTGCTGCTGCTACTACTACTACTACTACTAGTACTACTACTACTACTACTACTACTACTACTGCTGCTGCTGCTGTTAATGCTGCTACTACTGTTGTTGCTACTGTTGCTGCTACTGCTGCTACTGCTGCTACTGCTGCTGTTGCTACTACTACTGCTGCTACTGCAGCTGCTGCTGCTGCTGTTGCTACTGTTGTTGATGCTGTTGCTGCTGCTGCTACTGCTGCTGCTAACTGCTGCTGCTGCTGCTCCTACTGCTACTGTTGCTGCTACTGCTGCTACTGCTACTGCTGCTACTACTACTACTGCTGCTACTGATGCTGCTGCTGCTGTTTCTACTGTTATGACGCACGCCAGCACTTACTCACGCACACTTGCACGTACGCGCACATACAAGCACACACTCCCGCACGCCCGAACGCATGTCGGCACGCATGCACGCACGCACGCACATACAAACTCAAATACCCCACACACACGCGCGCGCACATGACGCACGCATGCACAAACGCACACGCGGATACACGCACGCGCACGTGCATTTAAAGAAAGCATAGGGGTCGCGCGCATACGCACACTTTATAAGCAGATCATTGCAGCTGATTTTTTAGTCGTAAACACAGAAGATGTTTGCTTGCTTGATAAGAATAGTCAGCAGGTGAGGCTACGTGACGAGCCGGGGTTGAGGTCGCTAGAACATAATTCATTGGGTGAATCAACGTGTAATGACAGGTCGATTAAACGCTATCATGTGCAATGACTAGAATTTATAGTTCACATAATCTCAGCTCAATAAAAAGTTTGGGCCGAAGTAGAAAATCCACATAGTTACTTCGGTGACTATAGAGGCATTCATATAGTCTGAGAGATCGCAGTACGCCATTTAATGGAAGGGTATATTCAAGAGAAGGAGAGAGAGAGCGCGAGAGAAGAGCGAGCAAGAGAGTGCGAGAGAAAGAGAGAGAGAGAAAAGCGGAGAGAGAAAGAGAGATAGATCAAAGAGAGAGAAAGAGAGAGAGAGATAAAGAGGGGGGAGAGAGATAGAGAGAAAATACGTAAGAAAGAATAGGCTATAAGAAAAAAGGACGAGATGAGAGAGACGACAGAGAGAGAGAGAGAGTAGACAACAACAAAATAAGAATCAATACAGAATGAGAAAGTGAGATGTGTGAAAGAGAAAGAGAACGAGAGGAGAGAGAGAGGGGGCGAGAGACCAAGAGTACGAGAAAGAAAGGAGAGGACAATATGGAACGGGAAATATGTAGCTGATGCTATAATATATACTATTTGCTGGCTTGCTCTGCTCTTCTGCTACTGCTATGTTCTACTGCTGGCTGCTACTGTTGTTGGCTGCGTGTTGCTACTGCTGCTGTGCTGCTGCTACTGCTGTTACTGCTGCTGTTGATACTGCTGATGGCTGCTAATGATGCTGTTAACTGCTGCTGCAGCTGCTACTGGTATCTGCTAAACTTGCTTACGTGCTGCTACTGCTGCTGTTACTGCTGCCTGTTGCTGCTGCTGCTGCCACTACCGCTGCTATTTTGGCTACTACTGCTGCTATCTACTGCGCTGCTGCTGCTGTTGCTACTGCTACTGTGGTTACCGCCTGCTACTTTAGCCCTTTTGCCTCTTTATTTTTTTTTTTTTGTTCTGGCTCACTTCATTGTGGCTCCTGCAAAATATCTATTTCCTGCAGGCGTGACAGAGTATGGAAAGAGGAGGAAGAGAGAGTAGTCATGCCATTCCACGCACAGTACGCCCGCACGCCATACACTCAGCTGCACGACGCAGCTTACGCAAACACTTGGCAGCCGTACGCGCACATACAGGCACACACTCACGCATACCCGAACGCATGTCGGCACGACATGCAGCGTACCACGCACATACAAAGCTCAAACACGCCATACACACGCTGTCACGCAACATTTGACACACGCACGCACGACACTCATCACGCACAATAACACGTACGGCGCACAATAAGCCGCGCACTTCTACGCACCGCCCGAACACATGTCGGCACAGCATGCACGCAAGCGCGCACTATACAAACTCAAATACCCCCCCCCCACACACACACACGCGCGCGCGCGCACGCACATGATGCACGCATGCACACACGCACACACGCGGATACACGCACGCGCACGTGCGTTTAAAGAAAGCATAGGGGTCGCGCGCATAGGCACACTCTATAAGCAAATCATTGCAGCTGATTTTTTAGTCGTAAATGCAGAAGATGTTTGCTTGCTTGATAAGTATAGTCAGCAATTGCAGCTACGTGACCGAGTCGGGGTCGCGGGATCGCAGATAGAGATGCGTTCATCGGGTGAGTCAACGTGAAATGACAGGTGCGATAATGCTATCTTGTGGGATGGCTGGATTTATTAGTTTATACGAACTCAACTCATAAGAAATTTGGCGAGTAGAAAAATCCACATAGTTACTCGCTGATGTAGAGCATTCATATAGTATGAGAGATCGCAGTAACGCCATTTAAGGGAGGAGTTATTCAGAGAGAGAGAGAGAGAGAGCGAGAGCAAGAGAGAGAGAAAAATAGGGAGAGATAGAAAGAATGAGAGAGTGAGAGAGAAATAAAGAGAGAGAGAGAGAGTGGGAGAGAGATAGAGAGAACATAAATAAGAAAGAGATAGCCAAAAAGAGAAAAAGCGAGAGGGAGAGGGAGAGAGAGAGAGACAGATATATATATATATAGAGAGAAAGAGAGAGAAAGAGAAAAACAAATAGAGAAAGAGAGAAAGAGCGCGCGAGGTAGGGGAGAGCGGAAAGAAGAGAGACGTAGTTGGAGATAGAGGTATAGGAGAGAGAAAGGAAGAGAGAGTAGTCATGCCATCCTCGCACGTACGCACGCACGCCTACACACACGCGCACACTCACGCACTCTCGCACACTTGCACGTACGCGGACATACAGGCAAAGATACACGCATACCTGAACGCATGTCGGCACGCATGCACGCACGCGCACATACAAACTCAAACACCCATGCACACGCGTGCACACATGACGCACGCACACTTGCACGTACGCGCACATACAGGCAAACTCTCATGCATACAGAAAGAGCGAGGTAGGAGAGAGCAAAAGAAAGAGAGACGTAGTTGGAGATAGATGTATGGGAGAGAGGGAGAAAGAGACACGTTGATGGATACAGAGGTATGGGAAAGAGGGAGGAAGAGAGATGTAAATGAAGATAGATGTATGGGAGAGAGTGAGAAAGAGACACGTTGATGGATATAGAGGTATGGGAAAGAGGGAGGAAGAGAGATGTAAATGAAGATTGCGGTATGGGAGAGAGGCAAAAAGAGAGACGTAGATAGAGATAGAGGTATCGGAGAAAGGGAGGAAGAGAGACATAGATAGATATATAGGTATGGGAGAGAGGGAGGAAGAGCAACGTGGATAGAGAGAGAGGTATGGGAGAGAGGGAGGTAGAGAGCGTAGTCATGCCATCCACGCACGTACGCACGCACGCCTACACACACGCACTCACGCACACTTGCACGTACGCGCTCATACAGGCACAAACTCACGCATACCAAAAAGCATTTCGGCACGCATGCACGCACGCATGCACATACAAACTCAAACACCCATACACACGCGCGCACACATGACGCACGCACGCACTCACTCACGCGCACTTGCACGTACGCGGACATACAAACACACTCACGCACGTCCGAACGCATGTCGGCACACATGCACGCACGCACGCACATACAAACTCAAATACCCCACACACACACGCGCGCATGCACAAACGCACACGCGGATACACGCACGCGCACGTGCATTTAAAGAAAGCTTAGGAGACGCGTGCATACGCACACTCTATAAGCAGGTCATTGCAGCTGATTTTTTAGTCGTAAATGCAAAAGATGCTTAATTAGAACAATTGGGGCTACGTGACCAAGCCGGGGTTGCGGGATCGCAGGTAGACATGAGTTCATCGGGTAAGTCAACGTAAAATGACAGGTGCGATAATGCTATCATGTGAGATGGCTGGACGTAACGCGGCCATGATCCCGAGGCGCTAGCCGAGGATTGACACTTTGTGTCTTCCAATCACAGTCCACGCCGCCCCTTTATGATCAAAATTTTTACATATGCATTCGGCCACGGAATCGAATACGCCGGATGCTCAGGAACTCAGGCAATTCTGCTAGGCTAGAAGGTTTATACGATAGAGTTTGGCCCAAATACGAATATACCGAGCCTGTTTTGCGCACAGTGCTAAGTTCTTTTTCCTTTCATTTTCGCATATCTGTAGGCCACGATAAGCCCGCCTTATTTGTTGATTGCAGAATGGGCGTCAATGAGTGAGCTGATCCCTTGTAGCCGTACTGCAAGCTCCGTTGACTTTTCGTAAATAATCGAAATGCCGGCCATGCATTTGCGCATGCGAAGAGAAGAAAATGTCTGGGCATTTTCACTCGGTCTACTCCGGCAAGTCAACGAGCGCGTCATTCAGTAAACATTTGTTATTCCATAATTTCAACTATTCTTCTTAGTATGATGTTCACACATTTTGGCTCTTTTGGCCGCATAAATAATTGATACGAACAGCCTATTGAATTAAGCTTGATTTTCAACGGCACAAGCTGTCTGCATAAATGGCTTTGGTCAGTAGAGTATTCGAAACAGCCAAGCAGGATGTGCGTAACGGTCTTTGTGCTGGCACTTGCTAGCAGGGCGAGCTAACGCGGTAAGAGTTTGTGGCAGACTCCAGCCTCGCTGGCTGTGATGCCGTGTTTAGTTGTAACTGTTGTTTGGATGTTATTAAACAGATTAAACGCTATTACAATAAATGCGTTATATCGATTTTACGACGGAGACATAACAATAATGATTTTATTTAATAATAATTTCATAATAATTATACATTTTTCAGTTCGGACATCGCTATCATAGCGTTATAACTCTCTATTACTCC